AGTATGATGAAGGAGGCTTAAAGATTGGTATATGGATTGAATAAAGTGAAGGGTATAAATCAGATTCATAAATAACTTATAATGGTGAGTATAAAAATGGTTACAGAGTTGGTAGATGGAATATTTTAACAGAAAATAAATAAATTTAATCAATATATTACTAAGCTATATTATTTAGTGGTTGAAACTGGATTGATTTGGATGAGGAGTTCTAGGGTGTTAAATAAATAATTTATAAAGGAGAAGACTAAAATGGGATTAAAATTAGGAAATGGGAAATATAAGACACTTATAATAATTTTAAACGTGGGGAAATTAATTATGAAATATGAATAATCAAAAATAATAAATAAGCTTTTTTCCGAATTTAATAGTCAGTTAAGGTTATTTTCTCTATCTTTTACCTGATTATTGCTTCGAATTTGACAATAAATAATTATTTTTTACAACAATTATATCTTAGTAAACAATGATAAACCTAATAATATTTTTTTTGCTAAAAATTAAACAATATATACTAAATACAAATATAATTGGAAAATAATAAACCTTTGCTGACCAAAGCTAACTTATAATTAGAATTATCTTCGAAGCTTTGCCTAGAATTTTAAGAGCTTCTTCACATTTGTTTAATTTTATTAAATTAAACTTGAATTTTTACTAAAAGTTATGATGCACCTATTTCAAAATTAATTATTACCTTTTGTGAATAATGATTAGAAGAAGTATGGATTTAATGCCAAAGCTTTATTAGCTCAAATGATTGCCTTCTCATATTTATCAATTATTTTATGTTTAATTACTATCATAAAAATAAAATACAATTCCCAGCTAATTAATTAGCTTATGATATTTATACTTTTTGTCTGTAATTAGTCAATATGTTTTGAATCTATTGCCAAAGCTTTATCAGTCCAAATGATTGGATTATAATATTTCCCAATCATTTTTCTTATTAATTATTTTTTCATGAAAATAACATTAAACTTCCAGCTTATAAATTTATATCTTGTATTTATATGTTTTGTGTAGAATGATTTGAATTTATTATTAATGCTTAGTCGAAATATTAGATTGCTTAGTGATATTCATTATCATCTTAATATAATGTTAATCCTTAAATATCACTATTTCATCTATTAGTTACTGAGAATTTAAAAATGATTAAATTTATCTATATATAAATCATAAATTATTCTTTTTGATTAAATTATCATATCTTTTAGCATTTTCCCCATCTTTTCTTATAATTTATGAAATATATTCATATTTAAGCAATTATTCTAAAGCTTCATTCAATTAATTAGTATTTTTTTCATTAATCTTTCTTTTATTAATAGATATTTTTATTTCAATCCTTTTTACAATGAATAGTTTGTCACTTTCCACAATTATTATGTTTATTTATTTTATTAAATCTTCACTTTGTTTTTTTGATGTTATCAAATAAATCAATAAATTTTTTAGAAATCATATTAATCATTTAAGTGAACAATGTGATCTTCATTCCTTAGACATTAAAAACAATAAACTCGATTAGCTTAAAAAATTTATTAATACAAATTAATTAAATATAAATTTCATGTTCTATTCTCTTCCTTTAAGTTATTATTCGTATTAAAAATTTTCAACTTTAGTTTTACTAAACTAACAATTTTTTAAATAAAGGGAAAAGCCTCTAAATAATAAAAAGGAAATATTCGAGATCTAATTTGAATCTATAGAATAAGGAGTGCGAGAAATGATATTTTATCAATTGGATACTGATTATTAGAAAATAATTTAATTTCTATCTGATTGCGTGACTTTATTAATTAATTAATGATAATTCTATTTCACAATAAAATAAAGAATGAAAGCAATTTAGTTATTATTGTTGAGTTTAGTTAATCTCTTTTGAAATTCATTGATAAAAGCAGTTTTAAAGTTGTTTTAGAATTAGTTACTGCTGATG